CTTCTCTCGAAAGCTCGCACCAAATTTTTGATAGATTTTTTAATGAAACCACCGAATTTCTGCAGACAAGTCTCAAATGTAAGCGCGTCAAACACCAATAAATTTTTGGAATTCGAAACTTTCAAAAGTGAATTATGATTTAACAGTAATTTTATAAACTGAGAAAACCACCGCTTCAAAATAGCAACCTTTGAAAATTCCCGGTATAGCCAGGGGCTGTTTTAAAAACATGATTTTCATGATTTTATCTCCAGAGACTTTATAAGTAAAAAAAAAAGCTGCTGGAGAGAGGAGAAAAAGCTGCATCGAATGACACCTGAGTTGCTTGCCGGTTATTGTTCTATGGGATTTGTGATGACCAAATGCGCATCATAAAATTGATTTTGAATGATTTAAGAAGCAGGTTGAGGAGAAGAAAAAATTTTTGCTGTTCTGTAAGGTTTGCTCTATCTACCCATTACTTGATCTCCTTCTGGGGACCATTATAAAAATTTAGAAAAATCGTGAATCTTGACCATCCCAAAAAGAATTGGTCGCAGAGATCTTGGTAACTTTTTTACAAGTTCATTGAATATTATGCAATGAAATTATGACAGTTAGAAAGAGGATGAAATACTGCATCGAATGCTACCAAGATCTCTTGAAAATCTTGGTTCCACGAGATAAGGCGTTTGTTTGAAAGAAACGACCTTACTTTCGGAACGACCTAATTTATAGCTGAATATATTACACCCTGCTCGTAAGCGTAACTGCTTAGTTGATGAATTGCATATGACATTTTGTGTCCTTTTTCAAAAGCAAAAAAAGCAATCAGCACTAAAGCAGAATCAAAAAGACACCTCGGTAAAGATGGCGGTTCACTGGCGCTTCTTTCGGCAGACGAAAGCTTCTCATCAGCCGCTTCAGTGGGAGATCGCGGCTCACTTTCGGTGGACTCACGCAACGATGGTGACTCGGATGGCGGTGACGGGGATTTCGAGTCACCTACTCGCCGAACTTTCACAGACGAGTGTAGCACTTCGTTTTCACTATACATGGATGCTTGTTTTTGAAGGCTTAATCTCACACTCAGCAAGGAACTAAGAGACTATGCGAATGCATGAGCGCTCCTTACCTGACTTGATCTTTCCGTTGTATTTCATGCTTACGATCTGTTGTCAAAACATGGTCTTCATGGGAAAGCCTATTGTTCTTCTCCTTCAAAAAACAAATTTGAGAAGAAAATGGCACTCACGTGTAAATTGAGAACTTACTTGCAACACTCCAGCAGGAGCTGTTGGAGGAGATTTCCGCTTATCAACAGATCGCTCTAAATCCTCTAAGTATTCCACAACATCTTTATCAGCTACGGCTAATACATTTTGACCCTTAAGAATAATAAATTCATTTCATTTGCAGTGCGCCTTTCAACATACCGCATAGTTGGTATCATTCACGCTGGCACCATGTTCGAGAAGAATTTTACACGAATCTTTCTCTGCCCAATGGGCTGCGGCATGCAAAGGCGTCCATCCATCCTGTAACACAGACAGTGTGATCAAGTGAATCTAGCAGTTTTGTTTAGCCTTCGTAAACTACCCCAAACAAGGTAAAACAAAAGACTAGACTAACAAATGCTCGACCCTTCGTTTCTGTTACCCTACCCCCATATAAAGCGTATCCTATCCCAG